CCTTCTAACAAAATTTATAAGAAAGCTATTACGTAAAACAGGTAAAATTAGACTTGCTATATTTAAAAGTAGAATGGGGTGGGAGGTAGTGCAGAGAAGGAGGCAATGCTTGCCTGCCCAGTCAAGGCACATCCCAGAATCCCCCAGGAGAGGCTTTCTCAAAAATACATTTAAATACATTAATGTAGTGGCACCCAGTCACTTTTAGGCAGTTTTAGAAGGGAAAAACATCAATACAACTACTCTGATCATACGTATTTCACAAATGTAAAATATGGGATGAATTTTGATTTTTACAAAAATTCTTTATGGCTAACTCAAATCATGTGTTTAAAGATTCTGCTTGCACTTTAGGAATTTGGGTCAGGCTGCCTTGGCTAACATTCTGGAAACAGGGTGCAGTTTTTGTCAGCTGAAGCATTTCACTTAATATGTATGCCATTGCCTGGGTTTAACTTGTGTTTTGGCATTAAATTACCAGTCCGCAAATACGGATCGATGATTCAAAAGTAGTTCACTGAAGCATAAAAGGAATGATGAAACTATTAGCATAAATGCTGCAATAAAGAACAATTTGTAAATGAAAATAATTAGTAGGACTTGTGTACAAATACAGATTATAAATCTAAATGTGCTGGGAGGAGTGAAGCTGTGAACCGCATGCATTCTCACAAGCCACTCCCCTGCCTGTTGTGGCCCTCCTGGTTTCCAGATGAATTCCATACCACATGGCATGGGAGGTTTTATTGGGAAAGGTCAAACATTCAGGGCCAGGATCAGCATGAAGAAGGCACTGCTCCTCCGCCACACTTCCCACCATTCATGGAGAAAGCAGGACCTGGACCAAGGCCCAGGTGATCTGTTATTTTGTGTTTTAATAGGACAAATTTTAAACAAGTTTTGTCAACAGGGGAACTATATAGTCTGCTTGGCGTCCAGAGGTTAGAATTTGGGGAGCCGGTAGTTTATATGGGCTGTCTGAGACAGACAACTGCTTAGGACATGGATGACACAGGTCCCATGGGTAGTTACAACACTCCCCTGCTTGCCATCCATCTTGAGGGTAGTGGAACTTAGGTGCAGCTGCTCCGGGTAGAGACGGGTGAGGGTGGGATGCAGTCCTACCTAAATAATTGTTTAAGATGTCTTGTAGATGATACTGCTCATTGCAAAACAACTAAATGGTGGACAACAATGGTGTTGAGCAAGCCAGGCTTAGTCTTTTGTGTTAAATGTTCTGGAGTTAATTTTTGCTGATATCAGTCCAGATACCAGCAGGAAACAGATGGCAAATGGTGGAAACTGAGGAAAATTTAGTAAAGGAGCTATTTATAAACATATGGGCAGACATAAGGGAAACTAGCAAGGGATGGGGAACCATCCTGGGGCTAAGAACAAGAGGGAGACATTATTGCTTCGAGGCCTGAAGGGGAAAGGGGAGAAGGTTACCAAAACCCAGAGACAGCTATAGCTCTGGAGAAGCTAAGGGATGGGCTGTGGCCTTGAAAGCCTTTGGTGTAGGAACCTAGTACTTCCGGTCTACTATCTTGCAGGGAGGAATGAAGGGAGAATAAATGACCCTCACGTCACTCTTCCTCCCTCCAACCCCCTGCTGGTGTTTCCATTGGCCAAAATGAACCACAGGTCAGAGGGCAAGGAATGTAGTAAATCCAGCTGTTGGAGTCCATAATGGTCAACCTTCCAGGTCACAAGGCTGAGTGGAGAAGGAAAAGAATGGATATGAAGGGCAAACAGAGAGTGTCCACATACCAAGGAAGATAGAGCCTAGTGGCAGCTCTTGAGGGGGTACAGCTTGAGGAGAGCAAAGGAAGTAAGGGCGTGGAGTGGTTTAAAGAGAGGTGAGGAGTAAGATCCCACTTTTTCAATAAATTGATCAGGAAGAAAAAGAACAAGTTACAAAACTATCTTAAAGCGGTCTCTGGATTAGGAAAAGAGTATTTTCTGATTAGGGAAAGAGACTTGGAGTTTTCATTTGAAGAGCATAAGGATCTACTGTAAAGGGAGTAACTGGAGAAAGAGAGAATAACAGATAAACCCACAGTGGAGAGTATAGAGTTTTGAAGACAAGTTGCAGATAATGAACAATGTCAAAATTGTATCAACTGTTTACTGAAAATCATTATCAGCCCCCATAGTTAGTCAGCCTTAGAACTACTTAAAACTAGTACAACAGGTTTACTATGCCATCTCCTAAACATGTTTTATTAGGCTTTAAAATGTTCTCACATATGACTTGAACAGATTAAGGCACTTGATTGAAATAAGAAGGCCAGATTTGAAGATTAGGTGAAGGCTAAGAAAACTGAATAGATTTCAAAATTGATTAGCTCTTGGAATACTTTCTTGGCTAAAATTAAATATGTAACAGAGAATGAAGGCAATTACTCACAAATTAAATGCTTTTTATATTTTTTCTTTCTACATCTAACAATTTTTACGTATTTCAAGGTTAAGATATAACATGTTATCTGAATTCCATCTACAGAACGTTGTGGTGTCTCAGAACCACTTAAAGGCCAAATTGGAATTTTTCCAGCTTGATCCACTTAAGACCATCACGAGTGTTAAAAGATTGAAGACCTCAGGAATTACGTTGTTTGAACTAGTAGTATGTCATTAATCACATTAGTGACATTATTTCATTTGTTGTTAAAGAACTTCATTCATACTTAAAAGAAGCCAGTAACACAGGCACCACGAAATGTTTCCCTACTTAAGAAGCCAACTGACATCTTGCTGTCGGAGCTTATTGCCATATATTGCCACACTAGACCATCAACATCCATCATAGTATTGTCTAGTCCTTTCCTAAATGTTTCTCAGGTATGTAAAAGTATGGTTTATTTTAAACATCCAATACTTGAATTGGCAAAATTGTGACAATGCCTCTCTTCTAGAAAATCTGATTCTATTTGTAAAAAGCACAGGTTTACAGGTATAGGGATGGGAATATTTTCATGAGAACAGGGCCAATCCAATGGATCAAAATAGCAGTACTGAGCTATCCCATATTTCACTGTGATGTGGTAAAAGTCAAAGGTCTTTTCAAACAATAATTGTAAACTACAAGACCCATATGTTTCCTTTTCTCTTCCATCCTACAACAATAAGATAAAAAATGGAATTTTACAGCCTTTGGTTAGAAGCCTTTATCTTCAAAAGAGACCTGAGAAGGAAGACTTAACTGACCTTTCCATGTAAGAAAGCACATCACCTACTGAGATTTGTCTTCCTTGTTGGCACCTCCCTACAAAAGAAGTGGGAGGCTAAAATCAGCTTCAACTTGTGCAAATTAAAAGTAACCTTCAGGCTAATGGGCTTTCAACACCACTCCTTACTGGGAAAAAAATTTTGTGTCCCATAAAATTAAATTACCTCCTCAAAAATGACTTCTCCAATAAATTACGCCATTAAATACAGTAAAACTGGAATTCCTACAAAACAATTGCCCCTCTCTAAGGCAACTCTCCCATCACTGTGAAAATTGATTCCATCTTTAAGGAAGTATCCATCAGGTCCAAAAAAAGGGGCACAAAACCCCTAAAAAAACTGCCAAAGAAATAGCAGGACAATTAAAGGCCAGAAAAATAAATCAGACTTTTGAGGAAACAAGAACTGCAGCTTAGAGAGATCAATGCTTTAGCACTTTACCAAATGCTAAATTTAAAGAATGTGGAGAGTTGTCACCTAGCAGAAGGTGACTTGTTATTTTCAATTTCTTTGAAGTAGCTATCAGAAGGAAACAAATAATTAAGCATTGTAATGAGTTTGTGAGGTGGTAGCTTTTGTATTAACTCTGGCAATCACTATAAATCGACTATATTTTCACTAATTGAGGAAGTTCTAATGTAGTTCTTTTTAAATGGGGTTGGAAGTCATAGACACATTGTTAAATGACTACTCTGTATTAGGAACTAAACCAGTTTCTTCAAGAATGAAGATATCAAGGAAAAGACACTACAATTCACTTGAAAGATTGACCAAACATACACAAAACGGGAGAATTCACGAACACAAGTTGACAGTACAAACTGTGCGCATAATTGAGCTGGGAGGCAATTGGGCACAATTAACATGAGGCTATGTAAAGCTAAAGTGTTCAATTTGACCTGAAAGGCACTGGGCAAATATAAGAGGTCCACGATGAAATATTATCCTGGCAGCTGTGTACAGGGTGGATTAAGGTCAGGAGAAGCATAATACAAACTAATACTAACCCTAATAACATCTAACGCTTATAGGTGCCAGGCACTGTTCTAAACATTCTCATATATTAACATACTAAATCCTCACACATGAAATCCTGTATATTAACATGTTAAGTCCTTGATGCTATGAGATGCTGTTACCATCTCATTTTATAGATGGGGAAACCGAAGCACTTTCATAACGTCTGATTTTTACAGTCAACTTTCTGCACAGCAACCCCACGCAGGTAAATACAGGGTGAATTTTCAAAGCAGGTGTTGTCATACTAATACGGCCACTAGATACATTATTTTCAAATGCTTTTATTATTGAAAATTTCAAACGTACCTAAAATAGAGAGTAATGTAATGCCCCCGCCCCCTCCATGTACCCAATCTTGATTCACCTACCATAACTCCACTCAATAATCCAAACCCCTCCCCTCACTATTTTGGAGTAAATGCAAACATTGTATCACTTCATCATCACTAAATCTTTCAGTATTTATCTCTAAGAGGACACTTCTTTTTTCTTCTAAACAGGACAATAACATATCGCCTTAAAATTACAATAACTCCTTAATATCAAAAATCAATCAATGATCAAGTTCCAATAATAGATCTCATGTTAGTATTTATTGAGGACTTGCGATGTTAGCATTAGACACTTGCCCACATACTAATTCATTTAAATTGGTGTTATTTAAATTGCCTTTTTTTTCCTTCTTGCTTTCACTCTTACTGAAAGGAAGGAGTCTTTCTCTACCCGGGGATTCAAAGCCCTGCTGCGAGAGATCTCCGCAGAGCAGCCCTGCGGCTGCCCCTGCTCCGACCCCGCTGCGACCCCGGCCCCGGCCCCGACCCCGGCCCCGGCCCCGGCCCCGGCCCCGCCCCCGCCCCCGCCCCCGCCCTCTCCCGGAGGGGCCCAAGTTCCGACCCGGAAGCCTCTTCGCGGAGGGATCCGTTCCCCAGACTCGCGCCCCCGGCCCCGCCCTTGTTGCCTAGGCGACGAAGGGCCGCGGCCCCGGGGCGAGATCCTGAGGATGTCCGTGGGGACCACTCACGGGGGAACGACACCCGCGGCGACGACCCCGGCGGGAACCACACCCGATTGGGAGGTACGCCGCCCCTTCCCGGCACCCGCGACCCTCGAGCGCACGCCCCGTTCCCGGGGAGGCGTCCCGCTCCCGGGTTGGGAGCGCGGCGTGCACTGGCGGCCCGGCCCGAAACCGGCCGGAGCGGCGCCAGGGCCCGGGAGGCGGGCGGGGGTCGCTGGGGCAGCTCCCCGCGTTCCCCGAGCCCTGCCGCCGGCCGCGCCCCTGCCCAGGCGCGCCTCTCGAGGTTCCCTGGAATAGAAACTGTAGAAATTCCTCCCTTGGTCGGTTCCAGGTCCCGGCGACCTCACAACCCTGTGCTTCTCCCGGATTCTCTGCCCTTGAAAGGGGATCTTGGAAAGTGCTACTAATTCTTTTGCAGTGATCATAGTTCCTATTGCTCAGAGGTGTCGTGGAATAATAACTCTTCATTGTTAGTAGACTGATTAATATTTGAAGGCCAGGGCTTGGTGTCTCCCTGATTATTTTACCACTTCTCTAAATACAGAGATACGCGATAGGACAAAGGAGGGGCCCTGGAAAGTCCACCTTCTGGTTATGGCTTAGTTGCTCATGGTCAACTTGTCTCTTTAGGAAAGTTATTTTTAACTTCCTTGGGCCCCAGTGGTTTCCTGTATATGGAAAAGAAAGAGAAAGAAAGAAAAAAGGATTTATCTTTGGGCCCCTCCCAACACCAGCTCTCAGTAATAAACGGGTTTTAGGTAACTTTAATTATTCATAAGTTTAGTATCCTGAGATTTTAATTAAGAACATATCTGCTATTCCAGATATAGCTAAAAGAAAATGTTTAAATCTTCACACAGAGTCCATCCTGTTGTTCTAGGAAGTTTTGTCTTGAGTTTTTTTTAAGACTGAAGGTGAATAATAACGTTATGATTAACATTGCAATGCTCAACTCCCTTATTAGTCTAAATAACATTTTTTGTGCAGAAGCTAAATATTAACTGCTATTTCCTAAATGTAGAAACACACAGCCAATAATCTAGTGCCTTGCCGGAGATATGTACAAGTCGTTCCCAATCCAGATTCTTCCCAATACTGCAGACAGCTAAAGCAGGCTGACTGTCCTATGAGCCTTTCGAAATTAGCATACATTAAAAATACATTTAATGTGATAAACTGGTTACTAAACTAGTTAATCCCTTGTGATCTCTAATGTAAGTAATACAATTTCAAAAGTGGCAGAGATAATTTCCCAATTAAGTCATGTTATTTAAATATATACAAAAACTTAAGAAAATGCTCAATTGTCAGTGATACTTGCATATACTTACTTATCCATGTAGATATAGATATGTCCCCTCTAAGAAGACTCTGATAATTTGGGTTTAACGAATCTGCACTTTAAAAAATAAAAAAGGGAAGAAAAGAAAAAGAAATACCCATAATTTTCTTTTGAAGATGCGAAGAAGTGCCATGCCCCAGGGGAAAAGAAAATCACTTGTTTTTTGGATGGGTCAGATGAATTGAGTTAGTTATAGACCTTCAGTGATTATCTGCCATCTTAGCACTGTCAGTGGGTACATTTGTTAACTTTTTGGAGGAGCAGGTATTCCCTGTGACGAGCAATTCAGAAAATGCTCAATCTTCTGGTTAGTAACAAACTGAAGAAATCCAGATGGAATTTGGACTCACTGAGCTGTACTCACTGAGCCTGTACTGAGATGAACAGGTTGATACACTGCATGTTAGAAACACCATTTTCCCTTCTAATGAAAGCAGAGTTCCTGTGGGTCACAGAGAAGCCAGTGGATCCATAGGGCCTTCATTCATTGGAGTGATAAGGCCTCTTGGCCTCCCATTTGTGCCCACGATGTGTTTTAGGGGTTAGATGGAAAAAATGGCAAAGACCGCTCTCTCAAAATCTATGCTCCCAAGGCTACTGATTTTCAGTTAGATACTGGAAGGTTCTTCTCAGATCAGAGTATTTCCAGAGTTGATCCCCCAAGACCTAGTCCCTTATGGTGTCATTTCTAATAAATTTTGTATCCAAATTGACTTAGCCAGTAGACCATCTAGTCATCCTGGCCAAGCAGTAGTGAAATATTTTTTTTTCTTGCCAAGTCAGTCGGAAATAAAGCATAAGCTTCCAGTAGTCTGAGGTTTCCCGACTTATTTGTTACCAGTACTTAGAACGAAAACAACCAATTATCCCAATCACATAGTAGGCACTCAGTAAAATATGATAACTAATTAAAATCACAGGTGGTCTGATGTATGCCAGGAAAGATAGTTGTCGTAGACCAAAAGTTATTGAGAAACTGTGAACAAACACACATGAGATGCAGGTCCAGGAAGATATTTTTTTCTGTAGCATTGCATAAACTCTTTTTGCAAGCTTTCTGAATTTAACATTCCGGATTCTTTAGTAACATGGGAGTTAATGCCTCCCTCTAAAAAGTAAGACCAAATGTTTGGGAGGTATCTGTATAAATGCATAAGACTAAACAAAAATGACAAAGATCTGAAAATATTTACTATGTATAGATCTGTAAATGAAAGGAATTTATAAATGTTTACAAATTAAATTATAAATGAATTTATAAATGAATACTTAGAATTTAATCATCAGTCTTTTATCAGTAGTTGGTTCATAAACTGACTTTCTTAGTGTCTTAAAAAATATTATTTGGGAAATATCATTTAAGTAGCATATATGAAAGGACTATACTTCAACTTACATCAGAGACCTAAAAGAAAATGTAAATGATTATTGCCCAGTTGCTTCTTCTGACTAATGTCTCGAAATGTTACCACATTCCCTAATAGATGACATTTACTCAGTGCCTTCGAGACTGTATCAGGATAAGAGGACACTTGCATAATCTTGAATGGAAAGATGGTGTCTTGTCTTGGAGATCTTTCAACATGGCCACAGATGATTCTCTCTACATTAGGTGGTCTCCCTAACAAACCTTGAAAACAGCTCCCACCCCATCATCAACAGGTTGGAGAGAAACACTTAGGGTTCAACTTGAGCAGCAAGATGATCAGGGTCCTTCTGTTTCTATATCACTCAAGAGATATTTATTGAACCCATTTTAGGCACATACTGTAGGAAAACCTGAGCAGGCCCATGGGGAGGATGCCAAAAGTATTACATAAAATATTGTTAAGACAGTACTAACATTGCTCAAAATGTTAATATACAGTAGTAGTATTTATAAAACATTTAGAACCTCTGGAGTAGTGGCTGTGAGTGTGGAAAATTTGACAGATATTTGAGCTTGTCTTTCTTTTTACTAGTGGTTTTTGGGTTTCTATTTTATTTTAAAAGTCCTGCTTCTCTTCAGCCTCCCTTTCAGATTATGCAAGTAATCTCTACTCTTTTTCTAATATTTAAAGTGTTATTTTTTCTGCATGGAGCACTGGGTGTTATACGCAAATAATGAATCATGGAACACTACATCAAAAACGAATGATGTTGGGGCGCCTGGGTGGCTCAGTTGGTTGAGCGACTGCCTTCAGCTCAAGTCATGATCCTGGAGTCCCGGGATCGAGTCGCACATTGGGCTCCCTGCTCAGCAGGGAGTCTGCTTCTCCCTCTGACCCTCCCCCCTCTCATGTGCTCTCTCTCTCTCTCTCATTCTCTCTCTCAAATAAATAAAATCTTAAAAAAAAAAACAAAAACCTTTAAAAAAAAACCTAATGATGTAATGTATGGTAATTAACATAACATAATAAAAAAAAGTTAAAAAAAAGACTTGCAAAAGTAAAGTGTTATTTTACTAAAGTTAGGTCTTAACATGGCTAAAATTAATTTCTGATAGATATGTTTGATATATTGGAAATGAGGATCTAATTTTATTTTCTTCTAGACATGAACCATCAGTCTGCCAGTTTCATTTACTAAATAAACCATCCTCTCTCTTCCCATTGAGAATGGACTGACTGCCACTGTCACATTATGTGTATATACATGTGAATGAACACAAGGATAGGCAGAATAGTGGAACAGAATAGAGACTCCAAACATTTATATATATATGTATACATGTATATGTATAAATTTATATGTATGTATACATGTATATGTATTTTTAAATTTCCAAAAGTTTATATATATTATTACAGATATATTTTCAAATATCCTTTTCTTTTCCACTGACCAGTTTGCCCATTCTTGTGTCAATGCCATACTATTTTATGTTTAGCTTTAATATCTAATTTTGAAAGGTTCCTCTCACTATTTTTCTTTTTGAAAATATATGTATTCTTCCATAAGAATTTTTAAAAACTATTTTATAAAGTTCCAGAATGATACAGTTGAGATTTAAAATTGAGATTTATAATGTGGGATGGATTTAATTTTTTTCAATTTGAAGGTTTCCAATAAATCTCCTTTATTAAGTTTTTTTATTAAACTTTTGATAAAGCTTATAATTTCTGTAGGTCCTATACCTTTCTTATTATATTTATAACCAAGTATAGTTTAATCAAGTTTCTGCCATTTCCATTTCTAATTAGTTTCTAATATAGAGAAAAGCAATCGGCCTTTATATATTTGTGTTATGTAACTATCTTATCAAAGTTCTTATTAACTGAAACCATGTTAGTACAATGTCAGGTGTCTTAGGTATGCAACCATGTAACCTTCAAATAAAGATTCCTTTATTTCTTCATTTTTAATATTTAAGCCACATATTTAGTTTTCTTATTATACTAGTTAGAATCTCTATAGAGTGTTGAATTACAATAATGTTACTAGCCAGAATCCCTTTTTAGTTTCTGGTTTCATGAGAATGACTTCAGTTTCTCACCATTCAATCTGATGTTTTGGCAAATAATCTTTTTTGTGTTTATTTTTTTTTCTATTCATGTTTTATTAAGAGTTTTGCTGCTGAATTCTAGTGAATGCCTGCTTATTATTTCATTATTATATCATTTTTTATCATTTACTTTGACATAAAAGTGTGTTGTTTAATGATGATCCATCCTTGCATTTCTGAAATTAACCTTATTTGGTCATAATGATAGTTTATTTTTCTTTTAGTATGCTGTTG